CATCACAAAAATTATTCCTGTGCATCTATCATCAACTTTCTCATCTCTTTCTCTCCCCATTGCTTCACAAAGCTCCAGTCCAGCATTTTGGCTACCCCAGATCTGTATGTAGGAGCTTAATATGCTTAGAGCAAAATGCACAGTCATGCTGACTCATTTCACTTCAAATGCATGACCATATTCTTAAGTGTGGCGGCCCTTGGCATTGCTTGGAAATTGCGCATTAGGCATTTCACCACCCCTCCATTCTCTGAGATTACTGTTTCATGCTTTTTTCTTTCTCCTTAGCTACAAACACCTCCTCAAGCCACTTGCAGCCTAAGACTTGCTTCTTATTTCACTAAAAAATAGATACAATCAGAAGAGACCATCCTCATATCACCAAATCCTTTGAGTGCATGAGTCTTTTCATGTTCAATGTGGTTGCTCTCAATTGTGAATTCAATTATGCAAATGGAGATTGGATTCCTTTTTTTTTAAATAAATATGTTTATTTATTTATTTATTTACTTTTGGCTGTGTTGGGTCTTCATTGCTGCATGCGGGCTTTCTCTAGTTGTGGTGAGCGGGGGCTACTCTTCGTTGTGGTGTGCAGGCTTCTCATTGCAGTGGCTTCTCTTGTTGCAGAGCACGGGCTCTAGGTGCTCAGTAGTTGTGGCTCGTGGGCTGTAGAGCACAGGCTCAGTATTTGTGGTGCAAGGGCTTAATTTCTCCATGCATGTGGGGTCTTCCTGGCCCAGGGCTTGAACCCGTGTCCCCTGCATTGGCAGGGGGATTCTTAACTACTGTGCCACCAGGGAAGCCCCTTGGTTTCTTAATGAAATATTTCCAAGAGATTTTAAAGAATACAAGCCAGCTATTTTATAGAATGTTCCTCAGCTTGGGTTTGTCAGATAATTTCTCATGTTAAGATTCAGGCTATGAGCTTCCAGCCAGAACACTACACACGTGAAATTGTATGATCTTCAAAATAACACCCAAAGGCGCAAGATGTACATCTGTCCCTCTTTGTTGATATTAATTTTTACTTCTTCGTCAAGATGTTGTCTGGTTTCTCCACTATGTAGTTACTATTATTCTCCTTGTAACTAATGAGAAATCTGGAGGTAGACAGGTTGAGAGTATGCAAATATCCTGTTCCTCAGCAATGTGTCCCCCAAATTTAGCATCAGTTGATGAATCTTGTTCTAAATTTTTCTTATGATGGTTTTAAATGATGATTTTTGTACAATTCCACAACTTCTTTCTACCTGCATCTTTTGACATTTTTCTGTTATCAAGAAACTCAGATCCTTCTTCATTGTTTATCTACCTATCTGTCTATCTATCTAAATTCATCATCATCATCATCTATCTGTCTATTTGCCTATCTATATTGTCTATCTATCATCTATCAATCAATCAATCTATCATCTACCTACCTACCTACCTACCATTAGGGACTCAGTAATGTACTTCATGGCATTTGATTTTTATATCTTTGCCAGGCCTTTTCTTCTGTTCTTTCTGCGTTATTTTCCTTCAGATGTGTGTCATCCAAACCCATTTTTAAAAAAGAGTTAATATAGTCACTTTCTTTTGTTTATACTGAAGTTCTGGAAAGTAGGGGAAACGTAAGACTTGACAAATAATTCTTGTTTTCACACTGATGGTTTTAAAAATAGTTGTCATTAAACAGGACACAGTTCATGCCACCCAACATGGCAGGAGTGAAAAACTATTTCAGATGGTCACTGTCCAACACTAGGTTGGGTGTGGCATATTACCTGTTCTTGGTAATCTACTCCCAGTGCAGAGTCATGTTTGCTGTAGGGTTCCCCACTGAGTGCTTTCACCAAGGGATGAGGTAACCTTGACTAAATTATTTTCTACCCATTTATGTGGCCTTCAGGCTGTAGGACTATTCAATAACTTGAGTGATTATTCAATTAGCACAGGGTTAATTAATTAATGTGGGTAAAATTATTTTTTATTTCCATAGATGAAAGATTTTGAAAAGCAGTCAGTACTACTCTGTGTTATTTCCTGATCCTTTAAGTAAAAGCTTAATTAGGAACTTTGAGAAGGAAATGAGAAATAATCAAGCAAATCATGTTTTCAACGACCTAGTCTTTTGCAGTGAAAATGTTTCTATCATAAGGTTTATGATGTTTTTGCATTATTCAGTTCCCAGAACAATGCATTTACTGAAAATGCAACATGGTGCTGTGATCTGCCAGTATAAATAATGCTACTAGGGCTTCCCTGGTGGTGCAGTGGTTGAGAGTCCGCCTGCCGATGCAGGGGACACGGGTTCATGCCCTGGTCCGGGAAGATCCCACATGCCGTGGAGCGGCTGGGCCCGTGAGCCATGGCCGCGGAGCCTGTGCTCCGCAATGGGAGAGGCCGCAACAGTGAGAGGCCCGCGTACCACAAAATAATAATTAATAATAATAATAATAATAATGCTACTAGAATAAAGTTTTTGAAAACCTGTTTACATGCATGAAATAAAAACCTCAGATTCCAGAAAACACATTAAAATATTTTGCATTTTCTAGTCTAGTTTTATGAAAATATTAAAAAAATTAATTTTAACTACACTTTTTGATCAAGAAAAATGAATCTGGAGCATTATGTACAGATTGCTTCTCCTCATCTTCTCTCCAATTAATGTCTCTGTCAGACTCTCCTCTTCTTCTCTTGGGTTATGGATTGGCCAGGTGAAAATAGGGAGATCAGAAGAATAAAAAATAACTCCCCCTAATTTTTCCTTATACCATAGTTTTAACATTGTTATACTAACCCTAACGATATTCTTGGTAAGTTGGAAAGATTCAAAATAGTGAATTGCTTTTGTAGTGAGTAAAAGCTATACATTCCAGGGTGGAATTGAAGGTAAAATTTCTAGGCATTGATATAATTAAGTCAGATTTTGTCATGATATTCATTCGTTCAGCCATGTCTGCTGAGTGCCCGTTACATGCCAGTTCCAGTCTTGTATGCTTAGGATTGAGTGGTGAATAAAATTGACAACAATCCCTGCCTCATGGAGCTAATGTTCCAGAAAGTGGGGATAGACAATAAATAATACACTTAACCACTAGGTGAACAATGTGGTATCTTAGAAGATTAAAAGAAGCACTCTGGACAAAAAGTAGAGTAAGGAGGATTGGGATGCTATGGGGGAGGGACACATTACAATCTTAAGTAGGGTGATCAGGGAAGGCCTCATTCAGAAAGTGACCTTTGACAAAGACTTGAATTAAGTGAGGGAGTCAGTGTTCTAGGCAAACCTAGATGGGAGTGTGCCCTGTATCTTCAGCACAGCAAGGAAAAAGTATGAGTGGAGCCAGGTGGCAAGAGGGTGAGTAGAAGGAAGTGAGGTCAGAGAAATAAAAAAAAGGGACCAATTCATGCATTGCCTTGCAGGCCTTGGTAAAGAATTTGTCTTTTACTTTGGATAAAATGAGAAACCACTGGCTTTAAGTCTTCCCCTGGGGGAAGTGGGGAGCCACTGGAAAATTTTGAGCAGAGAAGTGATATGATTTGACATTTAATCATCTTAAATGTGTTCAGTTTGCTACTGTGTTTGGAATAGACCCCTGGGAGGCACGAGTGGATGCTGGCAGAGCAGTTAGGATGTTTTCACAGGAATGAGTAGGAGAGCTGATGGTGGCTCCCACCAGAGAAGGAACAGTGGGAAGTAGTCAGATACTCTTATATTTTGAAGATAGAGCTGAGAAGTGTTCCTGTTAGATTGCATGTAGATGTCAGGGAAAGAGAGGAGTCCAGGATGACGCCAAGGTCTTTGGCCTGAGCTGCTGGGAGGCTGGAGATGCCATCAACTGAGATGGTGAATGGTGAGTGGAGGAGGCTTTGGGGGGATGTTCGGAAGTACAGCTTTAGACATGTGAAATTTGAGATATATCAGTTAGACATCCGAGTGTAGATGTTCAACCGGCAGTGGGATCAAATGAGTCTGAAATTCAGGAAAGAGGTTTGGAAAGGAGATATATAACGTTGGAAGGCATTTAGCATGTAAAGGGTACTTAATACCATGAGGCCAAATGATAGAACCAAAGAAGTGAGCGTTGATACAGGATGGAAGAAGACACAAGAGTGAGCCTGGAAGCAGTCTAACATGGAGATATTGGAGAAGAGGGAGAATGGACAAAAGAGGACAGGGAAAATGACCATGCTCGCACTCAACTGAAATTTGCTCCCTCAAGCTGAAGATGGTAGGGAAAAAGTTAAGAGAGGAGAGACATTACTAGGGAATTGATACTCAGGGCAGACTGGATGTAGAAGCTACCTTATTCCTTTCCTATAGGGGCTGAGAGAGAGGACATGAGTATGGATAGAAAATTATCTTCCTAAGGATTTGTTAAATTTAGAACTTGACTCCTTTTTATATATCAAATTATATATATATACAGGTTGACTTAAAAATGCTATTGAAATCAAGGCAAAATGCAGCACTTTATGTGTTCAATATATTTATATGTGGAACTTCTAGTAAATTCTCAAGAAATACTTGTCAAATTATTAATAAATTACCTTTATGCTGATAATTTTACTATTATGTTAAGACTGTTTTCTTTGAATAAGGGGGACACATAAAAACTTTCTTCCATACTTTTTCTCAAGACATACATACCTATTGAATCAGATGCCAGTTAATTCAGCCATGTAACTTATTCTTTCTCTATAATTATTTGTCAGAACTCACTAGGAAATAGACACAGTGGGTGTGAATTGTCTGTTCCTCTTCACTATGGTTGATTGGCAACAGTAGTCAATAAGACAACCACTGAAAATATGAATGTATTCAAATAGGAGGTAGATTTTATTATGTGGATCTAAGTAATCTCCATGGAAAGTTAGAGCTTCAATCTACATTAATTTAGAAATATCCTACATACTTGGAGATTATTCCAGTGAGAGTCTTCTACCCCAGGAGGACAGCATAACTAACAAATCTGACTCTTCCTTCAGAAAGAGTAAGCAGTTTTGCTTACCAGGGTAGGAGGAGATGGCATTGATGTGGGTGGTCCTGATGACACCCACCCGTGTCCCACGGTTGTTTTTCATGCACATGCAGATACATATGGCAATTCCAGCAATGACCCCCATGATGAATACGATTCCAAATACTATGCCAGCAATTGCTGTGCCCCTAAAAAGGAAAAGCGAAAGTACATTTATTGAAAAGGCTCATAAAGATTCCTCAGCCTTTCAACTATAGTTCCATGACTACATGACAAGTGCCCCTTTAAATATGTTCTGAAGGATAACGTTAAAAAAGACTCATGTTAGGCTTCCCTGGTGGTGCAGTGGTTGAGAATCTGCTTGCCAATGCAGGGGATACGGGTTCGAGCCCTGGTCTGGGAAGATCCCACATGCTGCAGAGCAACTGGGCCTGTCAGCCACAACTACTGAGCCTGCACGTCCGGAGCCTGTGCTCTGCAACAAGAGAGGCCGTGACAGTAAGAGGCCTGCGCACCGTGATGAAGAGTGGTCCCCGCTTGCCACAAATAGAGAAAGCCCTCGCACAGAAACGAAGACCCAACACAGCCAAAAATAAATAAATAAATTTATATTTAAAAAAAAAAAGACTCATGTTTTTCAGTTCTTGAAACCATTCCATAAGTTAATAATTTCCTTTGCAACATTTTCTCTGTTTCTCTTTCTGAAAGCCTATTCTGAAATAAACCTCTGAGTCTCCTGGATAACTTCTCTAATTTTTCCTGTCTCTGTTTTCTTGAACTACTTTCCAGGGAACTTCATTGACTTTATCTTACAAACTTTTATTGAACTTTTAAATTTCAGCTATCATATTTTTAACTTCCACGTGCTCTATCTTATCCTTTATTGCAACACCTGTTTTATAGTGTCCTTTTTCTGCTTTTATGGATGTAATTTCTTCTATTAATCTCTAACAGTACTCATGACGTATTCTTTGAAACTTTATCTGTTTTTTGTGTTTCCTCTGTCCTGTCTAAGCTCCTTCTTATTGATTGTTTACTTTAATCTGTTTCATGTTTGACATTTTCCTTAAATGTCTGGTGATCCCTGAATCTATTCCTATGTAATAAGCTGCTATTTAGTAATAGCTGGTTGGGAGTTCAGTGTGCAAAGCTAGCATTGGACAGGTGAACCCTGCAGTAGAGGATCAACTGAGGCCAGATTGCATAGTTTTGTTTTTCTTTGTAGCTGTTCATTTTTACTCCTTAAAAGGATCCTCCAGTTTCATACTTGGGGAATATGAACTGGGCTGCCAGTTTCCTGGAGCCTGGGGTTTTATCCATAAGGATATGGACTTTCACAAAATCCTCCTGCTTTCAGCTCAGAGACTCAGTCTCATTCTGCTGTGACAGAGGAGGCTTTCAGGTTAAGTCTTCAGTAACAAAATCTTTGTGGTTTAAAAGCATGACTTCTAAAGCCAGACTGCCATGGTTCCAACTGTAGCTGGGTAACCTCGGGCAAGTTGCTCAATGCCCCAGTTTGATTCTTAATGAAATAAAGGTCAGCTTGGTGCTTATCTGACTCTCCTCCCAAATTTAATGTTATGAAATAACTGTGCTCCTAGATTCATTTGCCACATAAATAAGTTCCTGTTCTCAAGTGCTATATGAACATCTATCGTGTACTTTTCTAGGACAGGTTCATAATCTCTCATTCCAAGGCCTTGGGACTAGATGTGTCTTGTAAGTCAGGAATGTTCAGATTTTGAAAAGGGAACATGCATATACTGTATATTATATGATATTCCCAGGGCCAACATCCTGAGCATAACACATGTACATTTCTGCAGTAAAGGTAGGAATATTAACACTCATGTATTACATAGAAGCTATAAAAAAAGCCCCAGGTTCGTTCAGGTTCAGTCCTGCCACCAACTGAGTTGTATAAAACCTTTACTTTTCAGAGTTTTTGAGGACTTCAGAATTGCAGATAAGGGACTGTGAACGTATATTTATACAATTCAGAAGAAATCTTCTCTCTCTGACTTTTCCCTACTCACTTAAAAAAACAGAATACCATTATGCATTCCAATAGACTCCTTTAAAATATTCCCACATGTATTTTAACTTTGTTAGTAAATTATGAAAGTAGAACGTGAGACATATTTGGATGGGCTGCTATTAGCAATTAAAGAATGGCAGAGTCTAGCAGTTCAATAAATATGTCTTTTCAAGAAAAAAGATTTATCAAAGGTGGTAACTTGAAATTAAAAAGAACTAAAAGTAATCTGGAAACTTCTTTTTTATTGTAATTTTCAGGTCTAAATAAGACTAAATTGGAGGACTTAATTTATGTTCCAGAAATAATCAATGGTCTAATTATTCAGGTGTAGAGTTTCCAAAGTATGTGTTATGGAAGCTATCAATTTGGGACATATTTATATTCATTAATTCCTTTTTAAATAGAGAAAAGTAAAAAATCAGTCACATTTTGTTTTCCTGTTGGCAGCTTCAGCAAAAGTGCCTGCCCTTGAGGTCAATAATGAGGTTGCAACTAATGTGTTAAATGAGGTTTTTGATTAAATCATGATTTTCATGTCCTTGATCCTTTGATACCCATTAGCAATTGTAAATTAGTTATTTAAGACATGGCAAGTATAAAATTTATAACATTATTTAGCCTGTTATTAATTTAAAAAATAAGTAGTCATCTTCCAGTATATAAATAATTTGGTTTAGTCAACTGTTGGAAAGAGAGAAGCTATTAAGTTGAGAAATTTGGCATCATAAAATCCTTGAAAAGATTTATTTAGGGAATGTATTTTTTTTTTGAAAGAATGCATTACAAGGTTTGCATATTTTCTCTTCTCTAAACTTCTGTTTTGAAATAATTATAGATTCAGAGAGGTCCTGTGTATCCTTCACCCAGTTTCCCCCAATGGTTACATCTTAGGTAACTAAAGTACAACATTAAAACCAGGAAATTGGCATTGGTATAAAGTGTGTGTACAGTTCTATGTCATTTTAACACGTACATAGATCCATGCAACCAGTTCAGCAAGCAAGGTACCATACCATCACCCCAAAATATTTCCCTGGGCTCCTCCTTTACAGTCATATCCAACCTCTACCACCATCAATAACCCCTGACAGCATTCATCTGTTCTCCATTTCTATAACTTTGTCATTTCATGAATGTTATACAAATGGAATCACATAGTACATGACTTTCTGAAATGCTCTTTTTTCACTCAGCATTATGTCCTTGGAAGCTATACTGGCTTTTCTGTATAGCAATACATTCCTTTTTATTACTGTGTAGTATTCCATGGTATAGATATAACACCAGACCTGAAAATTACAATAAAAAAAGAAGTTTCCAGATTACTTTCAGTTTTTTTTAATTTCAAGTTATCACCTTTGATAAATCTTTTTTTTCTTTTTTCTTTGTTTAACTATTACTTCTTATAGGACATTCTGTTTACTTCCAGTTTTGGTTTTTCCATTTATAAAGCTGCGATGAACAATCATGTGCTGGTTTTTATGTGGACATAAGTATTCATTTCTCTGGAATAAATGCCCAGGAGTAGGATTGCTAGGATATATAAGCATATGTTCTATTTTAAAAGAAATTGCCAAACTATTTTCCAGAGTGACTGTACTATTTTACATTCCCACCAGCAGTATAGGAGAGATCCAGTGTCTATACGTCCTTGTCAGCATTTGATATTGTCATTATTGTTTATTTTAGCTGTTTTAATGGGTGCATACTGATTTCACTTTGTAATATTAATTTACATTTACCTTAAGCTAGTGAACATTTTTCATGAACTGATTTGCCGTTTATATGTCTTCTTCAGTGAAATGTCTCATATCTTTTACTCATGTTCTAATTGAATTATTTGTGTTTTTACTGTTGAACTTTTGAGAGTTCTTTGTAAATTCTAGATATGACTCCCTTATCATATAAGTAGTTTGTAAATATTTTCTCCCAGACTGTAGCTTGTCTTTTCATCCTCTTAACAGTCTTTTGCAAGAGTAAAAGTTTTTCATTTTAATGAAGTCCAACTTATCAATTTTTTCTTTTATGAATTGTGATTTTGTTGTCATGTCTGAGAACTCTTCACCAACCCCTAGTTTCTGAAGGTTTTCTCCTATGTTTCCTTCTGAAAGATTTATAGTTTTATGTTTGACATTTAAACCTATCATCCATTTTGACTTAATTTTGTATATGGTGTCAGGTTTAGATCGAGTTTCATTTATTTTGCCCATTGATAGTCAACTGCTCTGGCACATTTATTGAAGACACTATCCTTCTTTCATTGCACTGCTTTTGCACCTTTGTCAAAAATCAGTTGGCCATGCTGTCTGGGAGTATTTTTGGGTTCTGTATATTTTCTTGTTGTTGGATAGGGTGTTTTATAAATGTTGAGTAGATTCTGTTGGTTGATGATATTGTTCAGTTCTGCTATATCCTGTTGATTTTCTATCTAGTTTTACTAATTGTTGGTGAGGGATGCTGAAGTTTCCAACTATAATTTTGGATTCGTTTGTTTCTTCTTTCAGTTCTATCAGTTTTGTTCCATATATTTTGCAGCTTTTCTGTTCTGTCTAGGCTCTGCACTTGACCTGTGCTGATAGGCACTGGGATGAGGCTGTATTTTTTTTTTTTTTTCTTATGGTGTTTGGTTATATTCAAATTAGTTAAATTGTTACTGTCTCAAAGTTTTCTGTTTTGCTAGGCTGTCTCTTTCTGGGGACTTTGGCTGCAGAGATCAGGCCTTCGTTGGGGTTTTTATTGTCTGCTCCTATTGGTGCTTATGGGTTGCCAGCTTCTTTACCTACAAACCTGGGGGAAATGAGGCAAAAAGAAAACCCAGGGAGCTCACTGTCATGTCATGTTGTTCTTCAGCCCACGAAGTTCCTAGCTGCTCTGCCTTCTTCTCTTCACCTTTCAGAATTTTCTTGTTTGTTTTATAGATAATATTTAGGGTTTTAAAGTTGTACACAGAGGGAGGAATAGGGAAATGTACATCTACTCTGAAAAAATAAAATATTGCAATAAATGGTATTGTTTAAAATTGTAAAGTGATTTTTTAAAGCATAATATAAAAACATTTTTATAGAAGAGATAAAAAACGTGATGAATATCCTTAAAAATATAGTTGGGTTTTTAGGGAAAAACATTGCCATTGATCTACATATATATATA